GCACAACACGGTTTCACTTAACCTACATGCAGGCAATACATGTATACACATAAAATTAAAATGATAAATAAAAAAAAATTTTTAAAGCACATGTGTTCATTTTCAGTCTCTCCTGGGGATCTTGAGTTGCCTCCAATCTAAATCCAGTGAATTCATATGGATCCATGTTTTTCAAAATAAGTATGTTTCCATTTTCAGTGTACTGTTCATTAACTTTTTTCATACTGATATTTTCCATGTTAGATGCAGAATGAACGTGAAAATGATCCAACTCACATCCCATTGACGGAAGAAGTCTCTACATGGAAGAGTAGAGTTTTCAAGAGGACAGCTGCTACAGTCTGCGGATTTGGGCTGCTGCTATTCATTTTCAAGCTAACTTGCCAGAGAAAATAATCCTAATCTTTACTTTAGGTTATATATGTTCATCTTATTCAAACTATCCAAGCATTGCTTTTAATCATTTGTGGTACAACACAACTTTATTTCTTAGCCCATACTCCATAAGAAAAATTATGATACCATAAAGCAGAGTTTTTCTTTAGAAAGTGATTCCATTGAATTATAGTTCATTATGTTTTATGTTAATTTCAATCAGGCAGCAAATTATGGTTAATTCTTTCATTTGAAACTGACTAAAATCACATGCAAAATAAACGTTTGGTATTCTTTACATTCAAAGAAAGTGTGTTCATTTGTTATAGAGAAGCTTAAAGAATTTCTGGAGTTCTTAAGTTGATATTTCTTTAGGCCTTCCTTATTTCCCTTTCCATTATTATATAGTAAGGAATTTATTACTGGATATTTTTATACAGTTTCATTAGAGAATTATTAATTATTAATTTTGAAAGTATTGGGATACAAAGGACAATGGTAAAATATGAAAGTATAAATACTTAAGAAAAAAATTCAAAACAAAAAAAATTAATGAATAATATGGAAGGCTTATAAGGTATTTTTGCTAATGGGACACATCCTGTGTATAACATTATAATGGATATTATAAAAGTAATGACATTTGTTACAGAATGCCTCATTGCTAAGAATATAAGATTTCATTTTTCAAGTTGAAATACTGATATTAAAATTTTAAAAGTGAAGTTTTTTTAAAAGGCAGACCCAATTAACAGACAATATGATGTTCAACTTTTGGTTAGCTTAGTGTCATGCTCCAAAAGGCAGTTATCTACAGTTGCTTAAGAGCTACCATAAAACAGAGGGAAAGAATCGCAGGGTGAGAGAATTGCATGAGGAACGATAATTAGTAGCAGTTGCTTTTTCTTATGCCAGAGCAGGAAGACTCCATCAAAATCCTGAAAAAACACTCAGCCATGTATTATTGGGTAGGCACACAATGAATTGATATCTAACTTACAACAAAGAATATCTTTTTTCTGATTCCTTTACTTAAGTGAGTTTATGGCATGGATAGAAAAATAGGAACTTGTTTTAGCACATGATGTTTTGCTCCCAGCACACACTTGGATGAACAGAGGTTTTAATAAATTTTACTTTTCTTTTACTGAAACTAGGAGAGTGACAGGCATACTACTAACTGTCCACCTAGGGTAGTCTTTCTCCACAATGCATCTTAAATATAATGCTGTTTCTTCCTTTGACTGCATAGGTCATTGGTTTATTTTTTTTTTCCTTAACAAAATCTAATTCCATATTAGGCTATAAAAATGTAAGTTTATACAATAATTGTTTTCCAAAATGATAAGTCATAGAGAGTTCCTTTCAATAGTGGGGTGCTCTATCTCAGCGTGCTTCAGATGTGAGGGAATAAACACTGTAAGTTTTGCTGCAACTCTATAGTCTGAAAACATTGTTCATGCCCTGACAAATACACTGTGCTTCATATTACAGACTGAAAATAAGTAGGCCAACATACTGTATTTAACGAAGAATTAATAAGAATTTCCTTATGATTTAAAATTTGTTGTGTTATCTAGAATGTAATTCCTTTCCCACTGTATAATTATTTGACATCATTATGGGCTTCAGGGAGTGGAGATCATTTTTGCTTCTGGAATAGGAAACTCAGTACAGATCTTCTTAAAACAAGTCCTTTAGAGTCCTGAGCACATATATATAGATGTTGTCAACCAAGTTTCAATTCTGATACTTGAAGTAGTAAAAAAAAATTTATTCTTTGGAACTTGCTTTTAATTAATCCGAATAAGAAAATGTACCTTTCTTTAGGATCAGTTTTGGAATTGTAACTACCTGTTGAAATGTAAGTTTATGAAAAAAAGCATGCTTCCTTATATCTCTACCATCTTTAAGAGGAATATCTTTTCCTCAGCCCATTCGTGACTGGTTCTCACTGCTCCCTGACATAAGGAGAGCAGCTTTGCTCTGTCATAATGATGTTTTGTTTTACTAAAAACGTAAAGCAATGGAGCCACATGGCCATGAAATGAATCCTCTGAAACTGTCATCAAAAAAAAAAAAAGAAAGAAAGAAAAAAACTTTTTCTAACATAGAAAAAAATTGCTACTGGAAGCAGACCATTCCTGTCACTAAACCTGACTACATGTTGTTCAGAAGCTGTTGGAACTGGATTATGGAAGAAATTTGGACAAGTCTGGAGAAGCTAGCTAGAAAAAGCTTAGAATACTACAAGCACAGCGTAATTGGCAGTTCTGGTGGGAACTCAAAAACCAGATGATCCAAAGAAATACAGAATAAACGCTTTGCCAATGAAGTTGCAACTGGCAGTGAGAACTCTTGTGAATTGGACAAAGCCATTTGTATTACATTTGGGCAAAGAATTTTTCTACATTTTATCCATAGCCCCGATACTTTATGTGAAGCTGAATTTAAAGGCGGACTAGTTAGTCTGTTTGGAAGAAATTTCAAGGTAACCACATTCATACTGTGGCATGAATACTGCTGGCTGCTTTTAGCTAAATTTGCTGTGAAGATTGTGACCAGAAAGTGAATAGAAAGATTGGACAAAATTGTACATTGGCCAGAAGAGGGCATGAAAAGTTGGGGCCAAGGAAGGTATGGTTGCTGTTGAAATTAAATCCCAAGAAAGAAACCAGAACAGGAAATATGCACTGAGGGCTACTCAGGAATTGTCCAGACCACCCATTGTAGGCTCATAGGGGTAAAAGTGTCTAAAAACTGATTTAAATGACTTTGCTTTGCGAATTTGAAAATGGGTGCTTTACTCATACAGGGCTCCCTAGAGAATTCTTTTCCTGCATTGAGGCCTCCAGGCACTCAAAAGCTGCTATAGTTATGGCCCAACTGAGCCCAGCTACTACCTGAGTTGATGGCAGACATTGGGATCACCCATGTGATGTGAATGTAAAAGTTGTGAAGTCACAGAGGCTTCCACCCAGCTTTCAACAGAAACTCTGAGAGGCCAGATGATGTGTGACAAGATCAGTCACTTCAGGAAGCCCATGAGAGTTCTATGTAAAGTTAGAATGAAGCCAAACCTGCAATGGAGACCCAGGAAGTTAGAAATTCAGAGAACATGGGATTTCTGCCAAGGAGAACAGTAGGCAGTGAGAAGAGCCAGCCCAAGAGAAGTGCCATGTGGGCTACAGCAAGCAAAACCACAGTCATGAGGAACAAGCATTTTTGAAGCTACTCTGATGTTCTGGTTCTCCTCCATTCCCCCTTCCAGAGCTCTCATAGAGTTCTTGTTTTCATAAGGTTGATAACGTCTCTTTCCTTCCTGCTTTTAATAAGCAAGTCTTCTTCCTTTTTCTAAGTATAACAGTTTCTGTGTTAGTCTTTTCAAAGAGTCAACATTTTTTTTTACAATCTATTTTAAAGATTTATTCTGTATTATTTATTTGTGTATATATGTGCACATGTATACAGGTCCCGCAGAGTTCGGAAGAGGGCTTTGGCTCCCTGAGGTGGAGTTACAGACAACTGTAAGCCCCCCGTTGTGGGTGCTGGGAACTGAACTCTGGTCCTCTGGAAGAAGAGCAAGTACTCATAGCATCTGAGCCATCTCTCCAGCCCCTTATAGCATTTTAGTAAGACACAAGCATTCATGATTTAAAGTGAATTTTAAAGCACTGTTATGGTGAAATAATGATTCATTGTATAATATTACCAGAGTTTTCAGGACTCTGGCAGCACTAATAAGCTAGGCTCATCCACTCATCCTCAATTCGCTAATTAAAGCAAGAAATACCAAGAAACAGTGAAAAGTTTATTCAGTGTGACCACATTGGGAAAAGGAACATATAAAGAGGTCCAGTGTCAACATTTTTGGTTAGTCATGTTTGTCTCATTTTTATCTTTTGTTTCCTTTGTTCTCGTTTAGTCTTTATTGTGTCCATTTTCTACTTGATTTGAGTTTCATCTGCCCTTTTTCCAATGTCTTATGGTGAAAAGCTGAATTCTTGATACTCATCATTTTTAACATTACTGCTTACAGAAGAGCCTTCTGCCTACATGTTCTATTATCAAAAGGGAGGGATTGAGGTCTGTATTATCGAATTTCTGTTCACTATTTCATTCCTACCATTCTTTGCTTCATGTTAATATACATCCTGGAGACCACATATAATTGGATCTTGGTTTCCATAATGCACTCAGATAATCTGCCTTGAATTGAATTTTGTAATCCACTTGCACCGATGTTGCTGTAGTTGGAGTTACACCTGTATTTTACTACTGTTTCTGTATTTCTATCATTTGGTTCCTATATTCCTGCATTACTACTATTAACATTAAATGAATATTTGCTAGGGTAACATTTTAGTTTCACAATTTGTAGACAGTGTTTTTAGTTATTTTCTCAGTGTTTACTCTAGGTCTTACAATGTACATCTTGAATTATAAGAATATGTTGAATTTATACTTATTTTCAACAAGATAACGACAGTCACTCCTGTACAATGCTACTCTATTTTGTATCTTTTGTACTGAGATTGTTAACTATATACATTACAGAATGAACAATACCATGTTATAATCATACTTTTATTTTTTCAAGCTTATTAAAGAAACTGAGAAAAATGGTCAAGTTTATATCTACATAGTTCATTATGTTTTTATTTGCCATGTCCAGCCCTCTTCATTTATTTGTATGGGTTTGTTACCATCTAGTATTGCCTCCTTACTACAACACAGCCCTGCTCCTATGCACCTTTTGTGCTGTTAGCCTCAAATATACTTCTGTTAGCAGTGCGGTTGAGTTGTTTACATGATGCTTTATTCAGTAGTTTTCAAAATCGCTAGGAGAAGAAATATTCACGTATCTGTCTTTTGTAATTACATGAATGCATTGAGGTATCTTCCTCAGCCTCTTCTCCGCCTTATTTTTTGGGGGAACTCTCACTGAAACTGAAGCTCACAGTTTAAGCTAGAATGACTGGCCATGAGTCCCCTGGGACCACCCTGTCTCTGTCCTCTGGCCCTGGAGTTACAGGTGTGCACCACCACCCTCATCTCTTAGTGTGTGATGGAATCTCAGACTTGTGCAGCAAACACTTTATCCACTGACCTATCCCCCCAGCTCGACAACAACTGCTTTTAATTTGTTACTTACTTTTGAATTCTGCATCTTCCTTTGTTTGGGTTTTTTTTTTATTATGTTTCTTCCTTGATACTCTGTGATACACTTTCTTCAAACCTTTTACTTTAAGCTGGATTTTCCTTAGTTCTCCGATTGTATTTCTGATCGCTT